CATATATCTTAAATGAGTCATTTCTCCATTTCAATGAGTGTGGCTTTGTGTAACTAAGACTCCATTTCAATAATATAAAAAAAAATATTGTATAAATAATTGAATATTTAGTGGATGATCTTTACACATATGAAATCTGAATGCTTTGCTTTCAGCAGTTAAAGCTGTTACTTGTTATTTCCTATATTTAGTTGAGCTATCAGTCACTAAAAATGTTTTTTTTTTCCTTTTTTCCTTTTTTTTTTTATACTGGGATCAGTATTGCTACTATTATCCTGTGTGCAATCACCAACCAAATTACTTCAATGAGTGCCTCTTACACCTTAACAGAGGTAAGCACATTGCTTAAGTCCATGATTTTTCACTTTTCCATTGCAAGCTCTTTTATTTCTCCTATACAAAATTCTCCTCAGCAAAAAGCAGTTTTAAAAAAAACTATGTCTGCATTATTTCTGTCACAGAAAGTTCTTCCCGTTCTGCAAGGCAAATGTTCTTGGATAATACAGTTTTCCTATGACTACAAAAAGGACATTTTCTTCCTGGAGGCAGATGGAACTGCAATGTACTCATCAGGGCACACTCTGCATGTTCTATGCATTACTCAGTATAGCATATATGCTCTGTGTATTTTAGCTCTTAGCTACACGTTCCATCTTTAGAACTAAAATTGCTTAATGAAAAGCCAGTCTGCTGGCTGGTCGCAAAGCTCTGAAGCTTAACACAAGGCCACAAATTCAGTAGTAGTGTATCCACTCACAGTCCAATGATGCAAGAATTAAACCTACCTAAGTTTTGGCATGGGGGATACCGAACAAGAGAAGAGAGAATAATGGGTGAGCTCAGCTCCTTCAGCTGCGGGACATCAAAACCTGCCCCCATGGGATCCTGCAATGTTCCTTGTGCTGCTGAGTCTATTTTGCAGGTCTTCCTTTTGCCCCTCATTTTCCTAATATGAGAAATGTTCAGAGAGAGACATTGCTCTCGGAGGTCCCGTTCTTTCAGCAATGTCCATAAGCAGTTCCGGAGAGTCATTCATTCTTCCCATGTTACTTGCTGATGTTCTGGACAGGAGAAAACAGCACAGTGCAATTGTTCAAATACCTATAAAGTTATAATGCTTTAATAACAGACATTGCTTGCAGATCCACTCTCTTCAGGGACCTTACCATCAGAATCTTTGCCCGTTTGGATTATTTTTTAGCACTTCCCAAAATAATCACAAACTAAAATAAAAATACTTAGTATTTACTAAGGGATGTTGTTCCATAGCTCTCTCAAAAAAAAGTATTTTTTGTCTTTTTAGACTGTAGTCGAAAGTGTAATACTTGGAATTATTTTATATTAAATCTTTTAAGCATTTTTCTTCCACTGGCTCGTGTTCTGCTTGAGCATTTTGAGCTAACAGGTTGCCTCTTATGCCTTAGTTGCCACCATACAATGACAATCATGCAAGTTGGAGGAATAACTGCATTTGCAACCCTATTACTATTTGCTCTGAAGACAAAAGTACTATTAATGGATTATTTAACAACAAATAATCTGTCATGATTTTAATGACAGCTTTATATCTGTTTTATCGAGTCACTCAATTTCTACTAGTTCTGTTTGCACCTCCAAAACTAGCAATGGTCACAGTAAAAAAATAAAATAAAACTGAGTGGTCTGTGCTGGAAATTGTTAAACTACCAAGACTGATCCCTCTCTCTCACAAATCTCCGTTCCAGCTTCATTCTTCTGTCCACAAGTTTGCTATACTAAGGGCAAGAGAAGTCAAAACATCTAAGTGGAATGTATTGTATTTCAAAATAGTTTTTTCTCATGAACCTACTACCATTTGTCTGTTCCTTTCTTAGAGCCTCCCTTGGAAACATTCATGAGTATCAATAGGAATGCAGCAGCAGTATCAAACTGGAAGTCAGCTTCAGAAGTTAACAAAAACAGAATTAGAAATCAACTAAGTAACGTTTTTTGGAATTATTCCGCTTATTAACAGACCAGGAAAAGGAGCAAAAGCTTACATCAGCTGCAGTAATTTCAGGATTTATCTTTATGCAAGTCGCTGATGTTAGCTTATTAATCACCGGCCCTAACAACATGGAATTTTGGGGGGGTTCCAAATGTATCGGCCAATTGCAGCTAAAGACAGTCTCACTGTGCTTGGTGTCCTCAGTAAACCCTGCCAAGCATGACATGTCAAACACTTCAAGCATTCTGCTGGTTATCAGGGCAATTGTCTGTATTATAAATTCATATGCAAATGGTTTCCTGGCTGAGCACTTCTTAGATATACTGACATGAGTTAGCCTGTACTGTACAGTTCCTGTTATCCCTCTATCTGTCAGGGGTAGTATCAGTAGCTTTGTATCACACTGCTGCAAATAAAATACAATGTTTAAATGCAGACCTCCTTTTCTGTATTAGGGACTTGGCAAAAATTTTTAGAAGACAAGTTTTGTGTTTAATCAGCTGACAAGTAGATTTTTTTTTTTCCTGTGTGATTTTTTTCCTATTTCATTCCCTAATGAATGGCAAGCCCAGACAGCTAAAAAGGTAGTTGAAGTTCCTGCGGGTTGTCTCATAAGAAAAACTGATGAGTCATGTGTCTTCCCAGAGCAAATAATTGTCTATCAGTTAGGTAAGCAACAGAACTGAAGTGGATTTACATTTGTTTTAGATTACCCACTACATCATTTGATAGTTTTGTTTTTATTGTGCAGTTCTTTTTGCGGTTCTTGGGGTTTTTTAATCTAATCAGAATACATCTTTCTTAAATTTAGTGCTGCTGGTGATTCAAATGCAGTGAGGGATGACATTTCTATTCGATTCTGGCTTTCACTTCACGGTGGCAATGCTCACAGTTCTTTGCTGTTTCCTACAGAAGTTCCAGGTTACATATCCTCTACCTGGAGCTCTGTTCTTTGCTACTGTGAGTAGAACATTTATACAGCATGCTATTTTTCGTAAGAGTAAGACATTATCTTGCTCCAAACTCTTTTCTTTTGCTTAAGCTTTCAAACTTACGTGTCTAATGCAAGCCTGCAGTACCCTCTCTCAGTATGACCTGCTGTTTGACACGGGTGGGTGCTGAGCCCTGCGTATCAGCAGGTCACTCTGTGAGACAAACTTCAAATCATAAACCACACATTGATATTTCTCTAAACTGCCCCTCTTATATCACAATTTATTGACAAATAAGGCAAATGGCAAGCAAGTACTTTTCATTTGGCATAAATTGTAGAAACCTCAAAAAAGCAAAACTAAATGTAAGGATTGTTTTCTTCCCTCTTCCTACAAGGATTTGAAGGAAAGCAGCTGATCTTGAAAGTCAGCCCACAAAAGAGCAAAGCCTCACAGATTATGCTGAGGAAGCACAAAGACTTTACAGCGATCCCAAGTGAAAACCTTGTGTATGGCAGAGAAAGGAGGGAAAACATTTGAGTGGAGGGAGTCACTCTGGTTACTGTAAATATCTTTTAAGAGTCATTATTTTTACTTTCTTATGGTTGTTAACTTAATAAAGATAAATCAGCAAAAAAAGAAATCTAGAGGAAGTGAAAGGAGAGGCAGGAGAGGGATGTCAGGAGTGAGGTCACCTTGGGATTCACTATGGGCACACAGCTCATGTATGTAGCAACTGAAGTTACTTAACTCTCAATCAGCAGTATACTGCTAATTTCTGAGCATTTTGAACTATTGACAGTATTCCTTAAATTTAGCACCTACTCCCTTAAGGTTGACTAGTCTTCCTTGTATTTGAAGAGGGCAGAACTGAGGCTGCAAACTGAAACAAAGATACCAGGTTCCTGCTGTCACAAGTCCTGCTGTATTAGAAGCTGTCAATATCTGAGACTTTCCAAATGTATTTAATCTTAAACCAAAGCTTTTCATGAATTTAAAACATAAGCCTAGTGCAACTTTTATAGACTTTAATACAACATACTAAAGCTGATTTGGGGCTTCTGGGTGCTATGGTCACATATGTCAATAAAAAAAAAGCCGCTGAAAAGATCGGTAAATGTAAATTTAAGGCCACTTACAGCTCTTACCCTTCATAGGCAGCAGAAACCACTAACCCCAGGGAATTCAGGCCATACAAGCACATCTCCTAGTGTTTGGAGCTGACTGGTTTGTAAGAAGTTTACTGCAGAAAAATTTAACATTGGTATTTTAGTGTGTGGCTTTTTTCCTGTTCTGCTATTTAAATATTTTCATTGGTATACCGAGACTGTCAATATGTAAAATTAGTCTTTATTTCCCTTAGCAATTTTTTTTTCATTTTAATTGCTTGAGGATTTTTTTCTTAGTATCATTAATTGCAAAGACTGAAAAAACAATTTCAAATAAATTTTAAGAGAGCAAGGTAACACACACACAAATAGTAACAATGTGAAACTCAAATCATACGTCATTGTTGGCTTCCTCAAGAAATGAAGATACATTTGTGCCATGAGGATGCCACAAAGCCAGGTAACGTTAATTTTTAAATCTGCATCCAGCTTTCCAAGAAATTTATGGCCTTATATAAGCAAAGTTTAGCAGGAAGCTAAATACATAGGCCCACATTTTAGATTCAGCCAAACAAAATTCCTTTAAAAGGTGACTGTTACATAGAGTACTGCCTTGTGTGTGATAGATTTTAGTCTGAAGAAGACAAATCTAAGTAGATCACTCCTCTCCACTGTAACAGAAACTTAACTGCGTCACTGACCAAGTTTAGTGTTTATCTGAAGTTAGTCTTAAATGATTTAAGAAGTAAACAAAAACTGCAGTCACAGTTAACTAAATTAAACAAATACATGAAATGTCAGACGATTAAGAGTATGTCTTTTAACTCCTTTTCTGGAAAATAAGTTAGAAAATAAGAACTCTAAAGGTAACTTTCAGAAGTCAATTATTTGCTCACCAAAGTCGACGATGACATGAAACTTGTGGTTTTGTCCCAAAATGAGCAATAACGTCTGAAGAACAGAGCACAGAAACGACGCATCAAATGGAAAGAAAACTTCCACTTTAAAAGATTTGATATAATTTAAAATAAATAAGTACCATAATCCATAAAGTAAAATGAACATTTTATAATTTTTTTTAAGTTTCTTGTATAGGGTTCACAGACCTGAGAATACCCCCAAAATAACTTGTTCGAAGTATTCCTTTAAAAAACTATAAATTATTGGTAACAGTTTCTTTAATAGAGATTGCAGGAGTAGGTCCCACATGAGTCCATATATAGCCCTTCTCTGGTCTCGTAGGAACAGTAGGGAAGGGAGATGATCGAGATTTGAAATATTCTGAAGGTGCATGACAAACAAATTCTAAATATTCCATTTTCCTTGGGAGATCCTCTTCTGGTCCTAGGAAAAAATAAATAATCTTCAAAGACAAAATTCAAAGGCACAAAATTGGAGAACGCAGGAGTTAAAAATACGCAACAGCCAACATCACCTAAAGAACGTGCCTTTTCAATCAATGACTTTCCTGGCAAAGTAGCCTCAAATACTAGGCAGGAAATCTCCATCTTTATTTTTGCTGGGCTGATTTTTTTTTTTTTAACCTATTTGAGGCATTCAGTTATCTGAATGAAGTACTTCAGTTAATGTATTTTAAATAGATACTATTTGGGGCCTGCCTGTGAAAGGGACTTTTCTGAATTAGCAATAATTTTATAATCATTAGCAGAACATTCTCTATGCCAGTGCTTGCATTTTCTGTATTTTAAGAACCCAAGATGAAGATCAACTAATTCAGGTCACTTTAAAAGAAACAGCTTGAACTAGTATATCGGGTTTATACTGTAATAACTTTGATCCTATCTAGGGAGTAATAATTTCATCTTTAAAGTTGCAAGACTATAGTTGTGCCCATGAGTACAAATACCCAGATAATCACACTCACTGCAGTCGTGCTAATCATATTATATCCGTAAGATAAATAAAAAAGGTTATTGGAGTAAACAAGATGCTTACAGGATTAGGGTCTAAAATGTGGAAATTGCATAAACGATCGTGACAAGCTAAAAAGTTTATTTAAAAAATACAACCCTGATTCGTCTAGGCACATATAAGCAGTTGTATAAAACGAAGACTTACAGATTACCTATGATATAAGATGCCGGGTCAAAACAATCTTTGGGACTGGCTTGTGTAGGAATGAGCCAGGTTAGTGCAGCACTCTTTTCACAGTATTGGTCCTGAATAAACCCACGGATCTGAGCGTAGTATGTTTTTCCATCCTGCTCATCGACCACTGAAACAACATCTCCAATTTGATAGTACACACCCTAGAAGACATAGAAATGATAATTACATCAAACAATCTGATTTTAGAAGCTTCACTCTATGATTCCGATTCATTCCTTCTTAAGTATCAGTATCTTAAATTACCTCAAATTACCCCAATCTTGAAAGACAGCCTTAATTCAGCCACATGCAAAAGAACGGTGCTGTAAGTGCTGTCTCACCTAAGCAGTCATCGGCACTGCTTGTACACAATCACCCAATGCCTAGGAGTCTGAGGCTACGCCTCCTGTCTGCAGAGTGGAGATGGTCTCATTCTGTCAGAAATGGGAGAGTGTGATACCACCTTCTAGAAAAAGTAACTGTAGTAATTTCCCTGTGTGCAGGGAAAGCAGCTTTCTGTGCATGAAGAAGTTCACCCATTTGAATGCAAAGGAGTCCCAAAACATAGATCCACCTCCTGCCACCTTCCACGGTGCTCTGTAACGTGTGAGGCTGTGGAGCAAAGGCTGCTCACTTCCTGTTCTAAGAGTGTCGCACAGCACAATGCAGTGCCTATGCTATCAGTATCAGTTTGTCAAGAATCATCCAGGACGGTTTTGTTTTTAAAACAGATTTAGAAGACCTCAAAACCCCCAAACAATCCCCTTTTCAACAATACAGAGAAGTATCAAAATAGAAACATTTTGTATACAGAGATCAGGTTAAGCAAAAAACTTTTGACATAATTCTTAGGTATTTCTAAAAACAAAAACACAAGAAAACACATCAATTCTCTTTTGAACTAGTCAACAGCAAACAGAGATTCATCTAGCATATGAGACATGAAGCATCAGGTCTCCAGAGAGTATGCAGAAATGCAGAAGGTCAGTCTACCACTTCTCCTCTGGCTGTGCCGTCTCCCAGTGGCTATCCTGACCTTTTCTTTGGGGGAAAAATTTCAAGTCGTTTATTTGTACTACCAGGAAACAAAAGCAAATTTCAGAACTTCAAAACATTAACACCATGGCACGCTGGTAAAAGTGCTCTCAAGCAGGAA